CAGCCTGACAAAAGAAATTCCTAATTTCTTTCGATTCATCCTTAATCTCAGGACACAGTTGCCATAGACCAAAGCTCGTGAGACATGGGGCAGACTATACTGGAAGTGACAGAAAACCACAGTGTCACCCACTCACTGCCTGCAGAGGCTCCTGGGAGATGATCGTCACATAAAGGCCGTGGTGCCACAGTCAGCCCTCAGACTGAGGCACAAAGGTGCCGTCCTCTGCAATGATAGGATTTGTGCTGATAACATCTTTAGATTTACATGTGTCCACTGTGGACAAGAAATCACTGTCTGACAAGGTGATGGTATGAGTTCTCTTAAAGGCGTCAGTTATGCTCCCTTGTGTGAGCAAGAAGGTTATTCATTTCCTTCTGAGATGAGACATCGTTAGAAGTGAGTGGCCCAGCCCCTTCCTCAGGTACAAAGACCCTGCTAGTTCTCATAATTGATTCTGAGGGCTACAGCAGCCTCATTCCATCAGCCATTCTGTGTGTACCCAGGATATAATTCATGTGCGCTGGAACATCCAACATGGCCTGCAAGCCTGGACATAACCTCCTCATAGCTACATCATTTTTAATCAGCTGTTCAGGGAATATTTATCTAATCAACAAAGACAACTGTCGGAAGGTGAGCAGAGTTGACATTAATTATTAAGTCTGTCTTCCTGGCGTGGTGATGGAGAAAGAGTTTAAGATAAAACCTTGTTGGCTCGATCATGCCAGCAGACTAAGGAATATTTTTCTTCTGGTTATAAAGAGCTGCTTAGAAGTCTCAGCCCTGCCGGGTGGTGGTGGCACACGCCTTTAATCCCAGCACTTGGGAGGCACAGCCAGGCGGATCTCTGTGAGTTCGAGGCCAGCCTGGGCTACCAAGTGAGTTCCAGGAAAGGCGCAAAGCTACACAGGGAAACCCTGTCTCGAAAAACCAAAAAAAAAAAAGAAGTCTCAGCCCTGAAAATCTGCTTTCTGGTTGTTTTTCATGCTGTGGTAAAATGAAGTGATTGTTTTATTTAGGAAAACAGAATAACAGAAACTTTGAAATGAAGTTCTGAGTCCCTCAGGGTCGTGCAAGTCCGTATGAAAAGCTAGCTTCCAAGAGTAAGGTGGTGTGCAACAATCGAGACTTGTGGATGCTAAGTGATTCCAGTCACTCTCTCTTCTTAGAAAGCCGTAATTTACACATTTTTCTTTTCTCTGTCTTTGAAAAGACCGAGGCTGTCTGTTAGTGATTACCACGAGTCAAGAGTAATATGCCATAGCTCCTTGGCTCATACAGACCCCAAGTTCTTCACTCACAGGCACTTCACAAACACACTGTGTTGGGTTATCCTGTCACTCATGTTCAGAGCATGGCTTGGGCGTGTTGTTCTGTAGATCTGAACGTACAGGGTGGTGTCTACCTCATAGCCAGCCTGGTGTCTATCGAGAGAAATGACTGCCTTGGAGAAATGACTAAACAGCCGAATATGGGTATCAGCACTCTCATCCCTCCTAATGGTGTGATTTCCCGGGTCTCCTAGTCCCCACGGATTGCCCTCTCCGTCTAGCTTAGTACTCCTAAGCAGTGCATATTTTCAAAGAAAATCAGTGATACCATTGGCAAATCACATGGTCACCAGTGGTATCTCTGCACTTTTAGCCGGAGTTTTTCCAATTTTTAGTCCTTCCAGTCCTTAGAAAACAACTTGGCAGCCAGTGGACCTTGTGATCTCGATTATCAACTCTATATGACATAGGATCACCCTGGAGACAGACAGCTGCTCATCCCTGTAGTGGAGTTTCTAGACACGTTAACTGAGGAAGGAAGACAATTAAGAGTGTTGCCCTTACTGTGGGTAACACCAATCCACAGACTGGGGTCCTGGGCTGAGTGAACGGGGAAAAGGAGCTGAGCAACAGTATCCATTTCTCTCTGCTTCCTGACTGGATATGAGGTGACCAGCTGCCTCCCCCACCATGATGGGCTGTGCCCTCCAACTGTAAGCCAAATTAACCCCTTCATTACATTGCACTTGCCAGATGTTTCGCCACAGCAATGAGAAAGGTATTCATTATTCAATACAGTGATGATACATTGAAATCTCTCCCCTAAGTACTCGGCCATCAACCTTGTTTGCTTCCTGGGCCCCCTGTTTCGCTGTCCTACAGCAAGCCCGTGTGTGACTGAGTTGACTGTGTGTTTTGTTGTTGTTAGGAGGGCAACCATGGTCCTTCGCACTCACAGCTGTGTGTTACCACACTTAGGTTCATTTGTAAAGTGAAATGAAAAGGGAGAGATCACACCCAGGGTGTGTATGTAGGTCCAGCATTGTGTCTTCTGGGATGTCGTGTCCATGCAGGTGTCTAACATGGGAGACCTTGCTCCTGCCTTGTGTCTTTAGCTACCTGCCCTAATCCAGATGAGAACCTGGCCTTATCCCAGAAGCAGAGCCATGGGGTAAAAATTGCAACCACATGCTTTCACCATGCTGTCTTTTGTCTAGCTACACATGAAATTCTGAGAAGTAACATTAATTGCAAAATCTAAATGTTAGCCTGTGTTTAAAAAAAAATGTTCATTAAAGTTTTTGAAAACCCTAAAATTTTATTTAGAGATTATCCAAATGGGTTCTAATGTTGCATGTCTGTGGCCTGAGGCTGAAGTGAGAGAAGTTTGAGACTGTCTGGATACATGGTAAGACCCTCTGAGGAAAAATAAGTAAGGGTTGCACAGAAAACATCATCTTTTGAGCATGGCAACCTTAGGCATCACACCTCTTGCCAGGTCTGAGACCAGGGGATGATGTGTAGTCTTTGGTGGTCGGCCCACCGCATCAGGCTGAAGTACTGGGAACTCCATTTGGTGCCATGTGGCTGTTCCTCTGAAATGTTACCCAGGATCCTGATTGTAGTTCTTGTTGAAAAGCTTCTAAACAAGACAACTTAAGCAATCAATGCCCCAGGAGACAAATGCTCATATCAGGACCTTGGTATCAGCCAGAAAATCACCATTTGTTTACAAGGAAGAAAAAGCCATGACATTTTATACGTTGGAATTGATTATTTCATCAATAGGTTAATAGAAATCCAGGCTGTAAGTTCACTTCCTGGTTATACATCCTAACCATAATGGGAGAACAGAGCATGAAAAATGCAGAGTGCAGAGCAACCAGGAAGAGGTTTCCACGCTGAGCTTTACCCCCTCTGCAGAGCTCAGCCGGGATTCTGCCTATTTATATGTAAATGTCTAGAAGGAGGTCCGCTTCCCCATGAAGCTTTGTAGTAACCACTTCTTTCTGGAACTTGTGAAATATGCCCCAAGACTCTGGGAGCATGCCCTAGTGAAAAATGAAGCCCGTGCCCAGTTGTAGGAACACAGTGTAACCTGAGGGGTGTGGGGGAGCACCAGTCCTTTGACTGTTCTGGAAGACTGTGAGCTGTTGGATTTCCATCATTGCTCAGAGTTGACATCAGTACTGGCTGATATCTGAACAGCCCTTCCTGGATGTGTTGTTTCCTGGTATGGACACAAGACCTTAAAGACCCAGCGATGAGCAAAACCCCTTCACCCTTCTCCCCCGACCATGAAAAGTTAAATTTCAGTACACATACGATATGCAGAAGACTCCAGGCAGGAGCTGTAGGTATTTACTGGTTAGGAATTACATTTCTTCCCAAATTATTTGTTTGGTCTTCACGCTGCAAAGTGAGCCTTAAGTGTTTAATTATAGCAGCTTTAATCATTTTAAATCAATGGGCAGTGAACTCACAGCTGTCTGCTCTCGTGATTACACTTTGCATTCTGAATATATAAGGTGTATTTCAGAACCGGCTTTGCTTCCTTGACAGCTCAGGTTTCTCACATGAGTCTTTATAAAGAAGCCCAATGAGAGTGACCTGCAACTGAGCTCACCTAGACATCTCCCAAGGTCACTCTCTACCCATCAGAGACCCGGCGTTCACACGTCCTAGCCAGGGCCTGACACCATACTGCCTGCAATTGAGTGACTTGAACACAGCAGCCAATAGAAATGGTTAGCCTATCCTGAGTCAGGGAGGCCTCAGGACCAGAGCTGACCGCTCTCCAGCACATGCTCCCCTCTGTGCTGGAAGCTTCCAGCAGGTTCTCTTCCTGACTGTGGAGTTGAGAAGCAGATGGCCCATGGTGCCCTTCCTCAGAAACATGGTAACTTTCACCTCTGCTGAATATTTTGCCTACTTGTCTGAGGCTTCCCAGAGCCACCTTGTCAACGCTTGTTAGGTTCTGTAACCTGTATCTGCGCGCGCGCGCGCGCACACACACACACACACACACACACACACACACAAGCACATATCCAAGGTAGTCATTAGAAGGAAGGGGCCAAATGGAATGGAGAACATGTCTGTGTCCCTGGAGTGTCTTAGCACATGTCTATAGGGCAGCATACAACTGCACTATGTCCAGTTGGCTCAGAATTTTACTCCTAACCCCAACATTCCCCTAGAAGTGACTTGGCGTCTGTCCTTTGTGAAGCCTTTGAGGAGGCACCTGCTGTGGGGGAGCCCACCTGGTCCTAGGGCCCTTCAGCTGTAGGCTAGTGTTCATCTCACGAATGGGGTTGAGGGGGAGTTGACAAAAATGTTCTTGTTATAAAAGACCTGCTTCTGAAATGTACAGGCCTACGCCGCTTACCTCTGGACCATAGCCCACAGCAGCCCGAAGGCCAGCATTTGCCCTTGGGCAAAGTAGCCAGCAAAGGGCGCCTGCACATTGGCCTGGGAACATCCTTGATTCTGTGAGCACTCCACTAGATGCTGGCTCACCTCTACGCTTCTCACCTCTGTGCTGTCCTGGGGGGAGTGGAGGGCCCGCGGAGGAGCCCCTTGGTGCTCCCCACCTGCCGCCGCCGCCGCGCACCCAGAGGTGACTTCACGCGCTGCTTTGACATTTCTTTTCTCCCTTTTTCATTTGTTTTCTTTTCCTTTTTGTTGTCTCTTTCTCCCCCTGCCCTCTCTGCTCTCGGGATGCAGCCAAACGCAAAGCATGGAAACTAAACCGTGTTGGTAGCCTGCGCAACATATACAGCAGCAGCAGCACCAACACCGAAGGTAACCGCGCCCGCCTGCCCGCCCGCCCGCCCGCCCCGGCTCCTGCCTCCCTGCCTCCTCCCTTCCTTTCCCCCATGCAGACATGGAAATGCACCCGCCCACCTGCAGCCGCATGCCCCATGTTGTGTTTGCAGTCGGCCCTGTGGTCTTTTCATCCTTTTGTTTGTGTGTTCTATTTTACCATTCATGTTCCTTTCAGCTTACTTAAATTTTGACCTTTCCCTTCCGTCGTGGAGTAGTGATGTTTAAATTACTTTGGAAACCTATTTTCTCCTCTTTTTCCCCCCTTTCCTTTATACATGTGGGCACTCAGTGTAATATTTCCCAAGTTATTACAGTTTTTAAAAGTGTTAGTATCAGGTGTAATGATCTGTAGCCAAATACAATAGTGTGCCGTGACATTTAAGTAACAGTCTTAATTTGTTTTGTGGAAGCATTCTCCATAATGCTCTCTGCAGCTCTAATCCAGAGGCAGGCAGGCCCGGGCCATTTGCATGGGCTGCTATTGCTTGTAAATTCCGTATATTGTTTTGTTTCTAAAGGTCGTCTGGTGCCAAAGTTCACAAATTGACTTGGGTTGCTTTTTCACCGAAGACAGCCGTCATTGCTTTTGTATAATAGCAGATTGAATTCCCCCCCACACCTTCATTTGAACAACACAATTATAAATTGCCTTTTTTTTATGATTACAAATGTCAAGGGTCAGAATTATTTTGATACCAGGCAAGGGAGAACCAGCGCCATCCACCCAGGTATAGGAAAAGAGGCTGGCGGGTAATACGCGATGCAAAGCAGGTCACAATCCAGCGAGCTTGGTATAATGGGGGGATTTCGTTTTCACTTAAGTGCAAGCCAAATGGTCAAGTAATGGCGAGCTCGCGCCCTCACACTAATTGACTTATTTGGGGATGATTATAACTGTAATATTTTTCTTAATGTCACTGTTTTCTGGGCTGTTGATTTTAGCGATTGCCAAGTAGTGGCATTAAATCTCCTGTAAATTTTAAATTGCACACTATTTCTGTAAACAAGTCCCTTCTTCACATCCCAGTCATTAACCTTTCCTGATTTATATCCCCGTCCTCTCTCTCTTCCCTTCACAATTACTCCTGCTTCACCACCAAAAGCCCTGCTCTTGAGCAGAAATGAATGCACAAAACAAAAGCCACCCTCGCAGGGTGGCTTGTTAAAGGGCCATTTTGTAATCACAGTTTTGTTTCCACTCGTGGAGAGGAGGTTATTGGTTCAGGTGTTGGTGTACCCTGGCCTGGCCACATGTCCCTTCAGAGCAGACAGAACGGGGATTTAGGAAATCATCTCATCAGTTAGAATTTTCTGTTGAGCGTAAAGGGTGTCAATTCGATCCCTCACGGTTTTTTTGTTTGTTTGGTTGGTTGTTTGGTTTGGGATACGTGTCATCTCTCTGCCCTGTGTCTCTGTCAAGGATGTCTTTCTTTTATATGGTGTGGGTTATAGCTTTATTGATGACTTCTTGCCTTAAAAACTAAAGAAAGTTGTGACGTTGGTTTTAAATGTTATTGCATACAAAACTGGGGAGCAGTGAGCAGTCATACAGTTCTCTTTAGCTTTGAGGCTAAACCTTCCTACTCATCACCTGTTAGAGGGCCTCCCAGAAGACATTGGTGGGCTGGATTGACACTCTGTGCATTTAGGGTGTCACGGGAAGGCTGGCTTCTCAGTCTTCACCACTCAGGAAACGGGACTTGGCACCCAAGGCAGCCAGAGCTTCAGAGCAGGAGGCCACTTAGAGGTGGTAGAGGGCAGAAGATGACTAGATGAAGTCCGCTCCTGAATCCTCAGTAGCTCAACACACTTGGGGTCCCTCCAGATGAGTGAGTACCACAGGTGTCCATGGGGATTAGGGTGCAGGCAGCTGTGGGGATTGAGACACAGGTAGCCGTGAGGCTTGGGGTGCAGGCAGTGACCACACTTCCGGTTTTACCGTATTTCCAGCCACAGTAAGCTGCTCCATGTATGGTTATATTTATTTCAGTTGAGCAACATGGCCATTCCTCATTAGTGTGTATATGCATACTACCTCATTCCATACAACTTTGAATAATTGGTTACAAAACTCATGTAGTTCCATAAATTGTCAAAATAGCTTTCTGATCCCAGGCTTTTAATGTATGGTGTTATCACATGACTACTCGCTGTAAACGGACCCTTCATGAAAATGTGTGTGCTAAAGACTCTGTCTTTTGTTAGATAATTTGAAAGGTACCCATCTTGAAATGTAGTGTTTCTTAAAATGCTCCACTTTATAGATTTATTCAGGGATTCCCAGTAAATACCAAAATAAAGTTGACACCAGAGTTCAGTTCCCTAGACACAAAAAGTAGGTTTATTAATTGGGACGGGGACCAACTAATAAACCCAATTTTTGGTAGGAGCCTGAGTCTGGCTCAGAAGTTGTGGGACCCTCCTGGGGACACAGGTTGTGAGACAGACAGGGCTGAGCCTGAAGCCCTGTGAGCTCACTGAAGCCTTTTCCTTGACACACATGCTTTTCTGGCCCCTGGACCACATGGTCTCATTTGATCCTCTCAGTGCCCTGCCAGGTAGGTATTGTGTTCCACACAGGAAATTGAGGTTGTGGTAAGTTCCACGGACCGTGTGCTGAGCTGTCTGCTCCAGGACCTCCACTCCCAGATCCATATGGGAGGGGCGATGGTGGATGAGCCCCGACTGTGTGAAATGGATTACTAGAAGGACAGGCATGGATTAGAAAAGAAGCATGGTGGTTCCTTCGCCCGTCAGGCTTACTGACCCTTGAGAGCCAGGTAGACGCTTGGTGCGCCTTCTGTAGCACCCAGGGTTAACGCTTTGCTGCTCTTCCACAGTTCAACTCTTGCCCGGGGTTGGTAAAAACTGAATGCCCTTCAGCAGGAATTTCAACTTTGACTTGTCTCAGAAGCCTATGGAGCAGGGTCCAAGGCCTGTTAGCGGTGTGGTTCTCCAGCCAGCCTTCTTGCTAGCCCAAGCAGAAAGGGGCTAGGTGTCTGGTCAAGTGGGCCTCACTTCACTGTTTGCCCCTGTAGCAGATGTTTCTGAGAGAGTGCCTAGGAGCCAAGAAACATTATGTAGGAAAAACAGGCCCTGTGTGACAGTATCCTTCCAGGTTAGGGTGACATAGTAAAAAAGGCTGCCCCCACCCCAGATGCCAGAGCCAGGTGGACTCACCAGCTGAGGGACAGAGGAACTCTCTGGCTTCTCTTAGCTTATTTGACATAGAGAAGAACTGCTGATATGGGAGTGAACACAGGGAGGAGGGGTTGGGAGCAATGAGCTCTGCTTGGTGTGCAGAGCCCACCCATCCTGCCACAGCCAGACTCAGGAGTGGCCCATAGTCCAAAAAGACCCTGTGGTCCACCTCTGTCTGCAAAGGTCCATTTCTGTGGGTTTGGAATCTGTCCAGAGACAGACAGAGGAAAACCCATAGTGGGTCTGTCACTGTGTGGCACAGACCGCTCAAGCAGAATCTGGTCTGTGGTGTCCTGATTTCATCACTAAAATTCAACCTAAAGACTCTATGGAATGTCACTTGCCAGTATAGGGACAGATTGGCAGAAGCAAGCATGCCTAAGTGCTGAATGTGTTAATGCAGCTGTCTTAGCAACTGCTCTGCTGCTTATATAAGAAAGAGGTCATTGGGCTTGCAATTTCAGAGAGTGAGTCAGTCCATGACCATTATGGTGGGCAGCATGGCGCTGGAGCAGTAGCTGAGAGCTCATATCTTGAGACACAACCATGAGGCAGAAAGAAAGGCAATAAGAGCTAACTGGGAATGGTGTGGGCTTTTGAAACCTAAAATCCCACCCCCAGTGACACACCTCCTCCAGCAATGCCACACCTCCTAATCCCTCCCAAACAGTTCCACCAACTAGGGACCAACTATTCAAACATAGGAGCTTATGGGGGCCATTCTCATTAACGTCATAGGAGCTACAGTGAGATTGGGAAATCCAAGCTGCACCGTTGGCTTCATGGAGAGAAAAGGAAGCTGGCCACGCTGGTCAACTCAGCACACCTGGACTAACAGAAAGGGCTGGTGATAGTCCCTGACAGACCTGGATCTCCCAGCACAGCCCACTCACTTGTGCCTGCAGCTGGGAGCCCCAGGACCCCAAACGAGGAAGACGTAGACAGCATCCCACCAGGAAACACGCAGATATGTTTGGCCGTCACATCTGTCACATCCATCTTTTCCTTTAAAAAGGAGGAAATGTGAGGATGAAGTGGACCTTTGTGCTGTGGTGGGTTTGAGCTGACATCTTAAACGGGTAGTTTCCACCATCAGATAGAATGCCCAAGCTACATGCCGACTAAATGTGGGCTTTTAAAATAGACACAGAAACATTTTACAAAATGTACTGCTCAAAAAATGAGCATATAAGCCTGAGGCTGTGTATGACATTGCCTCACATGGCCCCATGGGGCTCAGGTTGTGGGAGACCTGGGGACTGAAACTGTGAATATTGACCATTTGTCTACAGTTCACATCAAAGACAGTGGCCAGTGGCCAGTGGCCTCTTTAGAACACAGGGATGTCCCCACAGGAAGGTGGGGCCAGCATGCTCTGGTGATCCCTAGCTAGCTAGTGCTGGTGTGGCTGAAGACCAAAAAGGTGTCGAGATGATGGCTCAGTGGTTAAGAGTACATGCTGCTCTTGCAGAGGACCCAAGTCCAGTTCCCAGCACCCATACCACGCAGCTCACAACTAGCTGTACTGCCAGCTCCGGGAGATACAGATCCCCTCCTGGTCTCTGAGTACCTGCACTCACACATAACTCACACAGGCAGGAATCTTTAAAAAGAGGTGAGTGACCTGCTTCCAGGCACCCATTAAACAGGGTATAAGGGAAACCCCTCTCCACCAGGTAGATGCCCCACTGGAGAAACCCCTTGCTAGTACTCATGAATGAAGGGGTGGCGAAAGACAGAGTTGGTGTCTGTGTGTTGAGCAGAGGTATGGTGTA